TGATGCATATGTAAAAAGTGTGTCATCAACATGTATGTTTTCCAGGGTCTTATGACCTTATCACACATTGGGCTGCAAGTGTCCTAGGATGCTTGTAGCACAGCTGATTGACGGATTCCCATACCACCTATCACATGATGCAGGCTGACTTCTGGTGGGGCTCCATCCGTGAACAGGGGCACAAGCATCCTAGAGTGCTTGGCCCAGAACACAGGAGGCCTCCCATGTTCCATAAGGAATCACAGGGCTAGCTCAGGAGAAAGCTGTGCAGTGATGCTTTCCCACGTGTGATGTGGAAGCGTTACTGCTGCCGAGGCATACCGGGATTGCCCCACAGTCCCACCAATTTGCCACAGAGGCTGGCAAATCGATCCGGGTGACCTCATCAATGTGATGAGGTCATTAGTCCAGTGTTCAAATTACTACACCACTCTGGTTTTCCCAAAGTTGCACTTACTTTATGCTTTACAGATACATCCAGTAACAGAATAAACAGTAGATTATATTAAGAGGTTAATAAAAATCCATTGTCCAAGGGTTATTCTAGCATTCTTGAATTGCATGATGGGAGGTCCAATGTTATATTACATTAGGTATGTTAGAGAATGCATTAGCTATATTAGAAAGAAAGCATTTAAGAAATGCTGAGGGTAGAAGCCAGATATGTTGCAAGGCAAACAGTTCTCTGCAAGCCTTCCGTGTTGCAATATGGAGACTAAAGGGCAAGGCTAAGTACTTAAAGCCTTGGTAATGTTTCAGAGTATTACCACACCCTGTGTGGAGCTTATGCCACAGAAATTGCCTGTCATGGGTGGCGTGGAGAAGAAAAAAGGTGAGATTTTTTGCTTCATATTAAAAAAGAAAAACATTTTATGCAATTAAAAACAACTTATAAGGAGAAGAATATATAAACATAAATAACAAGATACACAAAAACCTTAATTAAAACTACAACTACAAACATCTAAACTACAGCATAGTACATAAAAAACCCTAATAAAAATAGAAAAAGCAAAATGAAAACACATGAATTCCAGTTATCCAGTCAATTACTATAATTGATCATCTATTCTACTAACTTTCATTTCATAACATCAACATATTTTTACATATTTACTAGCTGTACCCGGCCATGCGTTGCTGTGGCCCTCAGAAAACAGAGGATTTGCAGACATGAAGCAATCTGGGCTAGGGAACTCCTCCCACCAAAGGTTTCCTGCTGGTTAGTAGAAGCCAGGCTCTTAAGGTGCAAGGTCGTAGGGAAAATAAAGTAATGAGAAGCAGCCACTGAAGCTGCAAGGCTTTTCAGTTATATTCATGCTGGCCAAAACACTCAAAAAGCCTCTTCGAAACAGAGGCTGGATGGCCATCTGTTGGAGGAGCTTTCAATGTGATTTTCCTGCTTCTTCACAGAATGGGGTTGACCTGGATGGTCCACCAGATGTCTCCCAATTCTAGGACTCTCTGATTCTATATTCTTCTCTTCTCTTCACCAGTTTCCCCTTTCTTTCTTTCTTTCTTTGTTCCTTCCCTGCCTCTTCCCTTCCTTTCCTCTCCCATCCCTGCCTCCTTTCCCTTCCTTCCTCTTTCTTTCCTTCTACCTTTCCTTCCATTCATAATCTTCTCTTCTCTTCACCAATCCTTTTCTTCCTTTCTTCTCTCCTTTCCCTTTCTTTCCCCTCCTTCCTCCGGGACAGTTTGTAAGGGTTTTTTAAGGGTTGTTGTAGATGGGGGGAAAGGGGGATGTGGAGCCCAAGTGGGAGAGTTGCTGGCCTTCTTATGGTTCACATCCTCCCTTCACCCAACAGAGGGGTGGTGGTGGTGGTGGTGTGTAGCCACTCCTGCAGTCAGGCTTGCCTTACAATTCTCTGGTCTTGGGGGAAGAGTTGCCTGGTAACCACGTGGGCCTCATGGAGCTGCTGCGGTGGCTCCAGTTGCTGCCAGGGCTTGCCTCACCAAGCCCCCACCCCTCCGTTGGGCCAGGCCTTCTCCTGTCTTCCCTCTTTCCTTTCCTCAATCCCTCCACTCCCCAAAAGAAAATGGACTCTGTCTTCCTGCATGAAAAGGGACTCCATGGCGAGGCTTCTCTTCCCTCACAACAACTGGTGCTTCATACTTCTCGCGCAAAAGGGGAGAGGGGCTTTTGCACATGCTCTGTAAGGCATTGGGGGGGGGGGGTTAAGTTATTTCTCCTTTATTTTTATGGGTTTTTTTGTTTGAAAGACATAAATCGGAGTACAATGTTTTTTGCTGCCAAATTTGGCGTCAATTCATCCAGTGATTTTTTAGTTCTGTTAATCCCACAAACGAACATTATATTTTTATTTATATATAGATAAACATCTACTATTCTTCCAATCCTATACTGATGCAATTTCCCAATAGTTTCTCAAAAATGTAATTTACTGGTTGACAATATTTTTGAAAAAACTGGTTATTGGTTTATCATTCATCACAATTGTCAATTTCTGCCAAATTAGACAATTTCAATACCCACTCTGCTTACATCTTTCCATCTCTGGGAATAAAGTAGCTTGGCAACTGTAATCATGTACTGAAAGAGTCTTACATATCTTTTCTCATAATGAAAATGTGACCCTTTTTTGCATGAAATTGCAAAGCAGTAAAATTGGCACAGCTCCATTCAAACACCTTCAAGTTGTTGTTGTCACCTTTTCCTCAAATGAACATTGTGTCCCAATATCTAGAAAGCTGATGGACAGCTTTCTGCAGTGTAACTGTTTTTGTGCAACTGGAAAAAGATTCATTGGTTGGGTTTTCCCCTCCCTACAATTTAGAGATGTGCCATTCTAATAATCCCATTCTGATTAGTTTTTGTTGTTTCACTTTGTTAAAATTTTTATCTGATGTATATTTATTCTATATGAAGGTCATTTTGGGTTCAAGAGAACTAAATATTTAACATGATTATGCAAAAGGATCTTGTAGCAGCTTAGAGACTAAGGACTTCATCAGCTGGAATGAAGGAAAAACACAGAGAACTGTCTCAACCCATTTCCTCCTGTCTCGAGGGATGGCCAGCCATCTGATGCCCTTACTCATCTTTTCACATTTATCTTGTCTGGAACCTGTTTGAAGTCAGTTAACACCTGACTTCTGAAGATGGGCTTCAGGCTCTGTTTCCATGCTCTTAGGAAACCGAGCTCTATGAATTCCCACCAGAAGTGCCTTCACGATATGTGATGGCCTCAATGGGACTCCCATGGGCTTTGTTTCCTAAGCACATGGAAACAGAGTCTGAAACCTAAGAGATCAAAGCTGGTAGCATAAGTCTACTTCTTCAGATGCAAATATGTTTGTAAGATTTCTGGCTTGTATTGATGGAGAATATTGCCTATGCATAGTGTGGTGCATATACAACTATTAATCATTAATCATTAACTTAGTATTAAGAATAATACTACAGTACAACACACACACACATCTCTCCATGAGATTGGTACCTGCAGTTTCATTTATATGGCATCTATTATTATTATTATTAGCTTCATTTGTACACCACCTTTCTCACCCCTGCAGGGGGATGCAAGGCATTTTCTAGGTCCTCCAACACAACTCTGTGATTTTCTTCAGCCAGAAGTCCTTCATTTCAATACAGTCCACTGTTATCCACAGTTTTGTATACCCATATGAAGCCTGGAAACATTCCCTGTGTATATGGAGGCTGTAATGTCTCTACTGGGAAAAGCGGACTAGATACATTAAAGGTTTATGTCACCCAAAAAAACAATGGATTGTTTTTGCACAATGCCCTTTAAAACGCTGCAAATATAGCAATATGAGTCCACTTTAACTTCCATGGCTACATGGATTTCTTTTTATTTGGGGGGGGGGGAGGGGTTAGTAAGTCTCTAGAGCCCTCTGAGAATTCTAGAAATTCCTCTCCAAACTACAGATCTCAGGATTGTGTAGAATGGAACTGTGATATTTACATTGGAACCACAGTGCTATAATYGTGTAGTGTGCAAGGTCCCTCAATTGGTTGTGCGGCATCAACCCATCATTGTTGGTTTTCTCCCTGATTTTATKTATTTGTTTATTATATTTATATAYCGCTTTTCTCATCCCAGGGGGGAGTCAAGGCARTTTACAGCATATTAATGGCAAAAATGTTCTTGTCACTGGCTATTTGTTTTCAACCTAGCTTACACCCTCCATCATTTCAAAACTAAAAATGAATGCGCGTGCAGCCAAACAACATCGGAGCATGGTCAAGATGGCACTAAGTCATCTATGAGGAAGAACACACAAGGTGGGAGAGGGTGTGGCTTTCATTGGCCTGAATCTACTGGCCAAATTGTCTCCTCTTCTTTCCTTCCTGTTGAATGAGAGCATACTTCTTTTTCACTTTGAAATTTGTTTGTGGAAATGGAAGGGGAAGAAATAAACTGGAGCGTTTTTAAAGCAATTGAAAAAGGGTGATGGCAGTGGATTGAGACTATCCCGGTCAAATCAGAACAGTTGGAGGCTATGGAATTTTTCAGTGGAACGTTCCTGGTTATTCAAGATGTACTGTGCTCTCATTACCAAAAATCTCTGCCAAGAAAAGTTGAACCTCTTCAATTTTGGCCAGTCATGCTGATGTTACAAGAATAGAAGGATCCTAACAGACACACACACACACACAAGCTAGCTAATCTTTAAAACCTTGGAATAACCTCAGGTCTCCTGTCAGGCTACCCACACTGATGTTTCAGAGCATGAGTTATTCTTGCAGGTAAATGTAAGCAGCAGATGATTGCAAATCTCAAACATTTGCCCCTGAGCACATAGGCTGCTGCGTAGGTGTCACAAGTCTATTATGGTTCTCTTTTCTCCCCCTTCCTTGCTTTGCTATGCATTTGATCATCCAATCATGCTCTTGTATGCAAATATACCATAGCTCTGTTCAGATAAAAAAGGACACAATTAAATCTAAGTGCTCAGTCAGGGCAAATATCACTGAACTTGTTGAAAGCCTCCCTTCACCTGTGTTTCAGAAACTAAATCAGACATGGCATCTGAAAAAAAGCAACCGGATTCCAGTTCGGCTCCAGCCCCTGTGACTTTGCCTGCACCCCTCAGTGACGTGAAGATTAAATATACGAAGGTGAGTTATAGTTGTGTCGATTAGCTTCCCTAAAGTGGTGCCTCTCCGATATGGGATGTTATTGCTCTGTACAGGCGGCACTTGAGCACAGTTGTGGTTTTACTCATCTGTGTTATTTCAGTTTGCATGCTAGTTGCTGACAGTGTTTTGTAATCATTTCTTAATGTTTTAGGGTTTGGAAAGGCTCAGGTTTCCCCAGTTACTATTCCCTTGGGAATGTTCCTAAAGAAGGGCACTTCTTTCTGCAGGTCATTCTTACTGCTCAAGGAAATGTTGTAAAAAGTTGTTAATCACTCATGTGTGTGTTGTCTAAGGATATCTAAAGGTTTAATTCTCAGAACTGAATACAGCTTAATCTTCCAGTCCTATGTTTACCGCAGCTGTGCACCCAGGCAGCTATACTTGGGAGTAAACTGCATTAAAATAACAGCTGTGTCTTGTTCGTGTTTCATAAGCCCTGCTGAACTTAGCGGAACATATTTGGAGAATTCTATTTGCAGAGCTTGATTAGAAATGGGCCTTTTTAGCAAATGGCACAGAACCAGAATGTTCTTTGGAAATAAGCTCTGTAGAAACTGGATCTTTGCAACTGACTTTGTGAAAGACTGAAACCCCATTTACACTGGCTTTATAATCCAGATCAAACTGCATTATATGGTCAGTGTAGATATGTCTTAAGAGAATAAAGAAGATTTAGCATGGGATATTAAAAAGGGATATTTTAGCAGTGAACATAATTCTGATGTGCACATAATTCTTATGTGCAATTGCATCTCATTACGATTTGAAATTACCTTCAATTGCTTCCAACATATAGAGAGTGTAAGGCAAACTGTCGTGCAGCTTTCTTGGCTCAAATTGTTCAAAAGGGGGTGCCTTTGCTTTCATCTGAAGCTGAGAGAGTGTTACTTGCCCAGTGGGTTTCTATGGCTGAGCAGGAATTCAAATCCCATTCTCCAAATTAATAATCCAGTGCTCAAACCTCTCAACACTGTTGGCTCTCACTTTACAATCATACTTTCCTTTTTTTATATTATAACCCTTCACTCCAGTTAAGGATTCTGGGAGATGCTGTCCACAAAAGTAACTTTTCCAATCTCTGAATTAAAATTGTCAAAAATGTATAAAAAGAAACTGAAATATTCTTAGACCTAAGGAATTATTTCCTGGAAGATTTGTGCATAAAAGCAAATTAGCCACTTTAGAACAAAGAGAAATGAACGGTATCTGCCTGCATGCTTAAAGTCTCAGAAAACTTGACATTCAGGACAAAAGACTGTGGGGTGCGGGGAGAGCTAAATCTCTTATCCCCTACCTAATTAAGATGAAGGATTTGGACACAGGAAGATTTATTGTCCTGCACTGTATTGAATGAGAGGAATTTCATTTCCATTGACTGTGCTCTTATTCAGAATGTTACTTCACTAGAACTAATCACATTTGAAACTATAAAGCTTGGCTTAATTCCATTGCAGTCAGATGGAAGGCCTTAACTCATTTTGCAATCTGGTTCATAAACACCTTGACGTTTTACAAGTGAGTTTAAAAATGTAGGTTGTGGGTCACATGCAGTACTCAACCATCCCTTTTGTAGGCTGCCATCCTCCCCATGTTTTCTGTGAGTCCCAAGAGTAAACACAGCTGTCCCCCCAAATCAGTGGCAACCAGGTTGCTACAAAAATTCAGCAGCAAACCACTTATTAGAATTGTCTTATGTCAAGGGATATAAGAAATTATAACAAAGGGTTTAATGAAAACTACAGTGGGCCCTTGATGTCCACCAGAGATTTGTTTGTGGGCCCCTCACAGATAACAAAATCTATGGATGCTCAAGTCCCATTATATACAGCAGTGTTATAAAATACGTTAATATAAAATGGCAAAATCAAGGTTTGCTTTTAGGATTTTTTTAAAAATTCATAGGCCACAGATGGCTGAATCTATAGATGCAGAATCTATGGATACAGAGAGCCAGCTGCACATTTCCTGTGTTTATATCAGTTCGGAACCATTTTATTCAATAGTACTAAAATGACTTCTGTTTCATTCTCCAGATTAACTTATCCAGGTGCCATCAAACTTTTTTAGCAGAAGGCCAGTTAACGGTCCCTCATACTGTTGGGGGGACCGGACTATAGTTTTTTTTAAAAAACTGACAAATTCCTATGCACACTGCACATATCTTATTTGTCTTGGAATAAACATGAAAGAACAAAATAATATTTAAAATGAATAACAATTTGAACCAATTTAAGCTTACCAGTATATCAGTGGGAAGTGTGGGTCTGCTTTTGGCTGATGACCTAGTCAAGTTAATTAGGATTAACTTGAGTCCCCCTTGTGGGGAGAAGGGCAGGATAGAAATTTACGAAATAAATAATAAATTGTCGTTGTTGTGTGCCTTCAAGACGTTTCAGACTTTGGGTGACCCTACGTCTAAAGTTTAGGGTGGGTAATGGTAAAGGACCTTGGATGGTTGCATCTGGCCCGTGGGCCTTAATTTGGGGACCCCAGGACTAATCCATGCATCAGACTCTTAAGCCAAGTTTCCTTGCTAGACTTAGTGTGAGGGAGTCTTGAACCAATGTCTGTTTGCTCCTCAGATATGGAATGAGGATAGTGATCGTTGGCCTCATCTAGACTACTATATAATGCAGTTTAAAACTTCATTATATTGTCAGTGTAGACTCATATAATGCAGTTTGAGTCTGTACTGACTATATAATGTGGTTTCACACTTCATTATATGGCAGCGTAGATGGAGCTTCTGTCTTATCTGAATCAGTTACGATGGGAAAGGACAACCCCATCTACTATTCTGACCTCTTAATTGCATGGAGCAAATATGTATAGGGCTTACTCCCAGGAAAGAATTGTTGCAGATTTAGACCACTTCTACACTGCCATATAATCCAGATTATCAAATCTGATAATCCACATTATCTGCTTTGAACTGGATTATTTGCATCTATACTGCCAGATAATCCAGTTCAAAGTAGATAATCTGGATTTTATATGGCATTGTAGAAGGGGCCTTGGCTGTAGGGATGAGGAGACATTTGACCTTCCAGATGTCTTGGACTTCTACTTGCAAAAGCTCAAGCAATCATGGCCAATGACAAGAGATTGGCAAGAGGGGGGAGAGAATTGTTGAAGTAAATCTTACACCATCCTTAATCTCCACATCTCTTTGAAAGCATCATAAATCTGTATATCCAGCTAAGCATCCTGGCTCCAGTAGAGCAAGGAAACCCCTTGCTGAGAACAATCCTGTTTTATCAAGTAGAAGGTACTTCACCAAATTCTTTCCATAGTCCTGCAGAAGTAGACGGTTAAGGGGAAACATGAGAAAATATCACTGACTAATTCTTCAATTAGTTTTCTGTGCATCCACTCCACTTTTTTTCTTTTCCTCCTGTTTTTATGAGTCCTTCAAAATATCTCTGTACTTTGACCGGAGTGCTAGCAGACTCATGTGAACTTTGAAAGACTTTCAGGGAGAAAAACAGAGTAGTGCAATCAGGAGGCTTAATGGTAAAGAAAGAAAGAAAGATTACAACCTAGCCAAACCTTGACGAAGAAACAAAACACACAGTGGAGCCAAACATGTGCCTTTCACAGCAATTTGATGTGCAAGACATTAGTGAGTGATAAGGTTTATCTCCAGGCTGTGAAAAAGTTCACCTGCCAACTGCAGCATGTTAAAATGCTCTTAAAGGGCAGGCTGAGGCAAGTATTTGGGTGTTTGGCTTAAGGCTGCCAGCTGTCCAGGAAGAAAACAACATTAAGCACTGTTAAGACCAGTTGATTTCAGTGAAGGACGAAGAAGCTTGCATTTTGCATCATTCCCATTGAGATGCAAAGCTGTTCATCCTTGGTGGCAGGAATACCTCACAAGCATAATACATCACAGAAGGCAAACTGAAAATGTATCATATGAGATATTGAAGCACCATGAGAATACTAGCACTGAAATATATATTTATTAAAGAGAAGCAGCATCATAAAGGGCCCTTCACATAGCCCTATATCCCAGAATATCAAGGCAGAAAATCCCACAATATCTGCTCTGAACTGGATAATCTACGTCCACACTCAGATAATGTGGGATTTTCTGCCTTGGTATTCTTGGATACAGGGGTGTGTGGAAGGGCCCATAGTGGAAACACGCTGGGCAATGGCAAACCACCTATATAGAAATCTTGCCAAGAACCCCCTGTGTTAGTTTGCATTGGGATTGCCATATGTCAGAAAATATTTGAAGGTACACAAAAACAACGAGTGTACTAATTAACATGAACCCCCTGATTATCTTTCTTATCAAACAATATATTGTATTTCCGTCGAGGCTGTATCACTTAGTTCTACAGCTTATTCTCACCACCCCAGGGACATCCAACTTAATGTTGGCATTTCTTTGATACAGGTGGCAGAGTTGTGACATAAACTGGGAAATATTTAACAAACTTCCACAATTGGAAGTGATTTTGCCTGAGTTGCCTTTCTTGGATAATTATTGCATTGATACAGAGTTACAAGAATGATTTTCTGACTAATGAAGAGCTCCAAAGTAACATTCACAGGTGACATAGTACCTTCTGGAGGTAACAAAGGTGTAATGAAGTCACATTCAAAAGTAACCAAGCAAGCTACCCAACTGGTATAATGACTAATTGTTTCTTGTAGAGGAAATAAATAGAAATGCAGCAAGCAGTGCCAATAAATAGTTTAATTTGCTTTTCCAACCCTGTAGTGAGCAGAGTCAACATACTAATTTCTGAACAATGTGCAGGTATGAATTGCTTCTTTAAAGCAGCTTTATAAGTAGCTGGACTGAAGTTTACAGTAGAAAGTACTGGAAATCTAACTAAACAGATATGTAGATAGGATGTGTTCTGTTGTATTTTTAAAGGAATATTTCAAAGCCTTCCTTGCTGAACTTTGTGCAGAATCCTTAGCTACTACTTGAATTCATACTAAGAAATGTGCTATATTTAGTG